AAAAAGGTTTAACTATATGTGTTTGGCTCTGGATATGTACATATACTAAATTAGCTCATATATTATTTCAACAAATATTCATGGAACTTCACTCTGCACTAACTAGCTCATACATTAAGTGTGAAATACTGGGCAGGGAGAGGCCATTTTTTCATCACACCTATGTCCCCGGTGGTCAGGTGACCTGTTGCTGATATTCTCCTGAGAAGTAGCTGCTTAACAGCCATCTGTAACAGGGCCAATTTCTATTCAGACCCATGCTTCTTATCTTCAGAAGAGAAGAGATGATAAAGAAGCAGTGGGAAATACCAGCAGGAGTCAGGGATGGGTCAATTTACATCAAGTTCCTACTCATGGTGATCAGAGCCCCTGTTCCTTCCTTCCCTTCCCTGCCTATTGGAGAGGAGAAACTGGAGCAGCAGAGGTCAAAAGAGGCCATTTTCCATCAGTGTCTCTATTCCAAGGAATCTGAGGAACTCATCTGAGAGGGTACAACCTGCATGAGGAAAACCAACAGGGAATGACTGAGTTCTTTATTGGAGAGGAATGTTAATACTTCTAGGAATAAGAAGAGGAGGTGATTCTAGCATTACTGGATAAAAAATATCCAACTCAGACAGGCCTCCACTTGGAAACTATCGCCTAGTCTCTTATTTCTTCTTTCTAGGAAATATTGTTGAGAAGGTTGCAAAGGTACAGGTACAAAAAAAATATCTGTCTATCCATTTTCCTTTGGAGCTTGTGCTGGTGTCCATCATTATTTGATCACCACATTTGATCACCAGTGACATTAGACTGGTATAGTAAGGGCCCTACTGGGCTTTCTGGAGTTTTTGTCTCTTCTTCTTTTGGAGTGATACCTGGCTGGGATAGATTTTTGGGAAGGGAGAAGTTATACATATTCTTTTCGTGATTGGAAAAGTTTATCCGAAAGAAGGTCTTGCAGCATGACCTATAGGTGGATAGACTCTCAATTAATCTCATCTCTTCTAGAAGTTCATTCCACACCCAGACTTTATGTGTGTTATTCTGAGCTTTGTTGATCTGATATTTTCTGTTTTTTGGACTCCAGTCAGGTTTTAGACCTCAGAATTATACATATTCTTTTCGTGATTGGAAAAGTTTATCCGAAAGAAGGTCTTGCAGCATGACCTATAGGTGGATAGACTCTCAATTAATCTCATCTCTTCTAGAAGTTCATTCCACACCCAGACTTTATGTGTGTTATTCTGAGCTTTGTTGATCTGATATTTTCTGTTTTTTGGACTCCAGTCAGGTTTTAGACCTCAGAATATC